AATTTTTCTTTTTTTTTTTATTTTCATCCATTAACAAACTTTGAAAGTCATAATATATCTATCCCTGGAAGGATGTAACTATAATTGTCATAGAACTCTAAGAAATTATGCTACATTATGTGCATCCTTATTCTTTGAGGAAATAATAAGTTTACCTCAGGTTTTTATTTTTATTTTTTTAGATTTTCAATGACATTCTGCATTTATTCTTGCTTTTGGCTAGTCATACACATCTCTTCTAAAATATTAATATTTTAAATATTAGTTTTAAATATTCTAAAATATTAGTTTTGTTCCTAATTTTATCTAGAACCGTGGATAATTTAATATATAATATATAATTTAATATATAATTAATTTCTAATACAAGCAATCAATTTGCTTTCCACAATTTGGTTTTATATCCCATATTTTCTGATATGCCATTCTGCTTTCCTTCACTTGGGTTATAGTTATTAAAATAACTAAAATCCACGCCATCAACTGACAGAACAATTATTCACCTTTTGTACCTTGTAAAAATGCATTAAATTTCTATCCACAACTGGAAGTATAATGCATGTTTTAGCTTCTTATAGGAAACATCCAAGCATTTCTGATGATTTCCTTTTCATCAGGTGCAACCGCCTCAACTTCAATTAGCCAGACAAATTTTCTGATCATGTATTCCTTATTCTGACAAAGAAATTTTTACTTGGTTTCTGGGATATTGACATATAATTTTCAGGGAAGCATGTTTCCCTTGAATTATTTCTGTTTCTCACTTTATCTTAAAAGTCCTGTTTCATGCAATACTCATCATGTCTTTGGAAAAACATTCCCATGTGTGTTTTCTTCATTATAGCATATTTTTCAAGTCAAGAATATTTATTGTGCATTTGGCATTGTTAGAGATATAAATTTTCTCCTAAAATAGTTGAACATTGAACTGAGAAGTCAGATTTCAACAGGTAAACATATTTGTTTACTACTTCAGTAAGTAGTGACCACCTTCTAAAGGCACAATTTATTTGGAGCTGTGTGGCTTGCCAATTTTTGTAAGGGCTGAATTTTTATAAGGCTTTCTTAGTGAGCTTGCAATCTAAGAATGTTTCTTACATGAACTCTAGTGATACTGCCTAGGATTTTATTTTGGTGTGACCTTGGGCAAATAAGTCATTTTCTCAGTCCCTCTGATTCCTCATCTGTAAGGTGGAGACATAAAAGTATCTACAGATAGGGTTTTTGTGAGTGTTAAATGAGATAGTTGATGTATCTTTAAAAGAAATAGGAGAGTTGGCCAGGCATGGTAGCTCATGCCTGTAATCCTAGCACTTTGGGAGGCTGAGGCGAGTGGATCACTTTAGGTCAGGAGTTCAAGACCAGCCTGGCCGACATGGTGAAAACCTGTCTCTGCTAAAAGTACAAGACAAAACAAAACAAAAATTAGCTGAGTGTGATGGCAGGCACTTGTAATCCCAGCTGCTTGTGAGGCTGAGACAGGAGAATCACTTGAACCCAGGAAGCAGAGGTTGCAGTGAACCAAGATTGTACCACTGCACTGCAGCCTGGGAGACAGAGTGAGACTCTTTCTCAAAAAAAAAAAAAAAAAAAAAAAAAGTATATATATGAGAAAGTTAGGATTAGATAGGATTACAGCTTATAAGTATGTGTATAAATGGTGCTTTGGGGCATTTTACACATGCTATTTAGTCTTTACAGTAGACTTGGAGAGTAATTATTCTTTCTGATTTAAAAAGGTTAATTTATTTTATTTTTTTCTTTATAGAGAAGGCTCAAGGAAGCTAAGTAACTTGCCCAAGGCTGCCTCCTGTTAAGAGATGGAACAAGGCCGGGCGCGGTGGCTCAAGCCTGTAATCCCAGCACTTTGGGAGGCCGAGACGGGCGGATCAGTAGGTCAGGAGATCGAGACCATCCTGGCTAACAGGGTGAAACCCCGTCTCTACTAAAAAATACAAAAAGCTAGCCGGGCGACGTGGCGGGCGCCTGTAGTCCCAGCTACTCGGGAGGCTGAGGCAGGAGAGTGGCGTAAACCCGGGAGGCGGAGCTTGCAGTGAGCTGAGATCCGGCCACTGCACTCCAGCCCGGGGACAGAGCGAGACTCCGTCTCAAAAAAAAAAAAAAAAAAAAAGAGAGATGGAACAAAGATGCAAACTAAATCAATGTGATTCTAAAGGTTGTTTCCCTCCTCTGTGCTTTGATGATAGTGCAGTAGCAGGAAGAGTATTGGATAAGGGCAGGAAAAATTTAGTTTTGATTTGAACTCATTCATTTATTTGTTCTATAAATTCACAGGGTGGAGGTATTGAGGATATGGGAATTTTTTTTTTTTTCTCTGAGATGGAGTTTTGCCCTGTTGCCCAGGCTGGAATACAATGGCATATCTCAGCTCACTGCAACTCAGCCTCCGGGATTACAGGTGCCTGCCACCATGCCCGGCTAATTTTTGTATTTTTAGTAAAGACGGGGTTTCACCATGTTGGCCAGGCCAGTCTCGAACTCCTGACCTCAGGTAATTGGCCTGCCTCAGCCTCCCAAAGTGCTGGGATTACAGGTGTGAGCCACTGTGCCCAACCGGGAATGGGCATTTTACCAGGAAAGATAATTACAGACAAGGGGAGACTCAATCATTTTTTTAGACTCAGTCATTTATTTTCTCAATAAACATTTATTGGATACTGAGCAGCATTCTCAATGTGTGTTGGCTGCTGAGCAGCAAACAAGAAAACCTGTATTTGCAGTGCTTAAGAAACCTGTAGGTAAAGAGGAATGCAGAACAGGTTCTCAAGAGAGAGATTAGGGGCCATTCACATGGAGGAGGTGTTGAACATTCGGATATGCCATGCCCATTCTGGGAAGTTTAATGAGGAGACGTGGGAAAAACCAGAACCATCAGGGCATTGAAATGCACCCACTTTAGAGAATGAAGGAATGAAGAGAAGACATCAGAAGGGAAGGGATGTATCCCAGAGTAGGGCACTAGCTGAATGACAGTTAACATAAGAGGAGATAGCTTGAGAGGGGGCTTTATGGCTGGAGAGGATGAGATAGATTCTTGAAAGTAGATCCTCAGGCTGCTGTAGTAGTAAGTAATAGAGACTGTATCCCTCCTCACACATCAATCAAAGGTTTGGGATATTGTGATATGGCTAGAGGGTCAGTCTCTTCCAAGGTAGCTATAACAGAGACCCAACTACAACCTAAGACAGAGCCAGGTCCCTCCTCAAGACAAGACCCTTCATATGACTTTGTTCATTAAGAAGCGTGTCCTCCCAGGCATGGTGACTCATTCCTGAAATTCTAGCACTTTGGGAGTGCTGAGGCAGGCAGATAGCTTGAGCCCAGGAGTTGGAGATCAGCCTGGTGAAACCCCATCCCTACAAAAAGTACAAAAATATTAACTGGGCATGTTGGCATATGCCTGTTTTCTCAGCTACTCGGGAGGGTTGCTGGAGTCCAGGAGGCAGGGGTTACACTACACTGTGATCATGCCACAGTACTCCAGTCTAGGTAACAGAGCAAGACTGGGTCAAAAAAAAAAAAAAAAAAAGAAAAAGAAAAGAATCATGTCCTAGGAATTTTCCCATGTTCACCATAAACACCTCAGGAGCAATCCAAAAAGATTTCGTTTTCCAGACAGACTAGGGAAATCCCTACTGAATGTCCATATCAGGTGGGGCTCCTGAAGGCTGCCCAGCCAGTTAGGCAGATGGGTCTCTTCTCCGAGGGAGAACAGGCAAACCTCACCATCTGTTCTGCTAGATACAAAGCTTTTTGTTTGTAGTTTTGACCTGGCTGAGCCCTTCTAGTAGTTGTAATAAAATTATTGTGAACTACACAGTATCACTGTCTAGACACAGTGGAATAGTGGAGAGAGTCAGAGATCCGGAATTAGATGTTTGTATTCCAAACCCAAGTCCAGCAGTTTTGGCAAATTGCATAATTTCTTTTAATGTGATTTCTCTGTGAAAGGGGAGTAGGATAGCAAAGGGTTATTCTGGCAATTTGAAATGGTGCACCTTGACAAAGAAACACATAGAAGATTCTCCAAAACACAGCAATTTTTAATAACATGGGATAGATTGTGAATTATATAGACAGCTATTATAAAAGACAGAGAAGATGTGAGAAAGAACAAAGATCTGAGAAAAGGTAGTGTGAGGTAGTGGAATCATCTTTGGAAAAAATACATTTGTCCAAAGAACTCAGATTGTAAGAGATTATGAAGAATGGATGAAGAAGAGAAAGAAGCAATGCATTTGCATTTGGTTGTTTTTCTTAGAAAGTTGGCAATGAGCAAAAAGAGAGAGAAGGAGTGTCATTGCTGGAAGAAGTAAAAGACTGAGGAGAAGCTTCTAATGCCTGATCATAACCATGCCCTCAAAACAAACGTGAAAACCAGTCTACTCTATCTAGAAATAAATATGTTTATGCAAAGTTAGTGTTCTCAGAGGAAATAACCAAGAAATTGTTGGGGGAGCCATTAGGAGACAGAAATAGAAACTGATGGAAAGTTAAGAGCCTCTATAACATAGTGTTTATTCTTACATTATAGTTTTTATTTATTTTTTGCATTGTTTTAGCATTTTGGTTCTCACTTACCCTTACTACAGCAGAACTGGTGGAGAATTATTAAAGAACATAGATAATAATGGCAGTAGAAACTAAAGTCATAATTGACTTTAGTCAAAAAACAGCTGAGAGGCTTAGGCCTTTAAATTCTTCCTTTCTATGGCAGAATTTCAAGTAATACACATTTTCTGAGGCAGCCATTCCAATCTTCCTGGAATCAGTCTTCCCGGGTACTTGTCTTTGATCCGTTTCCATTAATCTCAGGTCTATCTGTCCAGGAGGACTTGCCACACTCATAGCCTCAAATGCTGACCTGGCATATTTGCAATTCTGTTAATGTTCCTCTGGCTCTTATTTGTGATTTAGTGCTTCTCTCACCTGGAGCAAAGGTAGAGGGGAAGGGTCAAGCTGGAGTAGGAGGAGAGGTGTTTTTTTTTTTTTTTTTTTTTTAAACCCTGGCCCATAAATAATAATCAAGGAATTTGGAGCATGCCCCACTTCTTGCAAAAAAGTAGTCCAGAAAAAAATTGCATAACCCCAAAGCATCTCATATCTAAATAATAATAATAACCAGAGAACAAATTCCTTCTTTCTTCCAAAACCCAGAATATGTTTTCTGTCAAATCAGGTCACAACCTAAGAAAAATTCCCCTTTCCTCTTTCTTGGGCGAGTATCTTACACTCAGCACACTGAGGTCTCTCCATCATTTCAAAAACCCTCTTTACTGTTTTATTCCAGGTGGCCACAGGTCCTCATAAAAATACACACCCCATGTTCGTGCTCCCCAGCATACCAGCTTTCCCAATCTGGATGTGCAGATAAGATCTCCGTTCTGGTGTTTCACTATTGTGTTCCTTGATTTTTTTTAAGAAGAGAGGTTGACTCTTACTCATTTTAGAATTCCTGTCAGTGCTCAGAGAGTACCTTGGATAAAGACACAAAATGGATAATGAATGAATGAGTTGGATTTAAAGCACTGTGGAGTGATTAGCCCTAAGCAGTATGAGAATCACCCCTGATGTTGAGATAGGATGGAGTAAGACAGGAGATAAGAACAAGCTATGGTGAAAGATGGCAAAAAGGGAAAACAAGGAAGTCCCCAGGATTGTCCTCTCTTTATAGGATTCAAAATGCTGTCAGCATGAATAGAATCAAGAACTAAAATATAAATGTATCTTTTTTCTTCAATGATTAGGTAGCACACAACTCATACTATTTCTAGGGGCCTTAGAAAGAGACATTTCGTAGTCCTTCCCTTCAGCTTCAGCTCTTTATTAGAAGGTTTTGCTTTTTGGTTTAATGAGTCTCTCTTAGCCTAGCACACATTATCATGTGTAATAAAGTTATCAGGAGGCCTTTCTTCCATGTTTACTGATCTGGAGCAAATGACTTCCTCTATGACTCACCCATACTTATGCCTACAGGTGCTAAAGGTTCTCCGACAGTGCTGATATGCATTTTGATATTTTTAGGGTGCAGGAACTTAGAAACATATGAATTAGGTTTCAGTTTATGTAAATATGACCATATGACTGATATACCTCACTACCAAATATGAACCACAAAAGCAAGGAAATGCAAGCATACATTTAAAAATGCAAATATACCTTATCCGTATGGGAATATCTATAGTTGTGATATGCAGTAAATTATATCTGTAATAGTCTGTTCTTACACTGGGATAAAGAACTGCCCAAGACTGGGTAATTCATGAAGGAAAGAGGTTTAATTGACTCTCAGTTCAGCATGGCTGGAGAGGCCTCAGGAAACTTACAATCCTGGTGGAAGGAGAAGCAAATATGTCCTTCTTCATGTACATGGCGGCAGGAAGGAGAAGTGTCAAGCAAAATCAAAACTGTTTATATCATTGTTTCAGACAGCAAATTTTAAATAATGTATCAAGGTTTATTAATATATTTCTTTTTTATAATTTTTATCTTTCTTATACCTTTTCAGAGGCTAAGGTATCAAGGGTATCATCCTTATGCAACTGTAAGCATATGATAGTTACTTTTCTTTAAAATTTACAATATATGTCATACAATAAGATGTTTTTAACAGCATAGATATGTTGGATATAATAACAACTATCATGTGCTATTTAAAACACTTCTTTTATCTTTAAAATATGACCAAAATATATAAATGTTTTTAAATAAGTCAAAATAATTTTGATCACCTTCCCCTTTGCAAGCAGCAAATAAAATAGCATTGCACAATTAATACACAAAATCTACTCTGTAAGAACACTAAATGCAGGGATCAGATATACCCCCAAAAATAATATTGCATTTCAGCCTATTTGATTCATAAAGTGTTTTCCTTTTCTTCATCTAAATCTTCTTATTTGATGGCTTTTAAAATTGATAGTATCAAAGAGACAAGTTGAATTACCATATTTTTATACCTCACAGTTTATTTTCTATTCTAAAGATAGAAAAATATGAGAGAAATATACATGCTTGTAAATTCAGTGCCCTTTAAGAATATCATAGTAGTCCCCTGCTGGGACTAGATGACAGACTCCATGTGTTCATTTTCAATTCATTTGTCAAAGCACTGAGGCAGAGCTGGGCTGACTGGAATGAAGAAAATATGCTCCAAACATATTTGTGTGCATTTAAATAAAATAGGATAACCTTTTTTATCCCACCACAGTAGTCATTCACCTAATCATGCTTAACTTTGTAAGTTCCACAACAAATAACACACGATCAGAGATCAATGACTTTGTTCACAAAAACTACAGACTCTGATCTGAGAGAATTTCATTTTGTAGTGATTGAGAGCAGAGCATCAAGGTGGAGGGAGAGGAAAGGGTGATTCATTTGGCCTATGCCAGGGGCTTTTTAGAGTAGTAATTATTGATCACCATATTGATTTTGGTCCATTTGGCTAGGAGGCCTTCCTAAATAAAGTGCTCTGGGAAACTGCTCCGCTTCCCCATCTTTATGACAAGCTTTCTGCTGCTGGTGCTGTAATGCAAGTTTTGTTCTCTGCACTTGGACAAAATTGTTTTCCCAAAATTTTTTCTCTAAGCTTTCTCTAACCACGTACTCGAACTATACACAAAGGTTCTCATGCTGAGCATCTTTTCCCCTGAACTAGATACCTGTACTAAAAAAAAGAATCAAAACAGTGAAGCTCACTGCAATAGATTACGGTCTATAAATCAGCGAAGTCTAAGCCCTGAATGTGATAGCCTTCATTACGCTATGTAAGGAGAGAACCTGAAGGAGTCCTTGGAAGTCTTTTCACTTTTTACTCCCTAAGCCAAGAGCAAGCTGTGTTCCAAAAGTTACCTCCCCGACTAAATTGCCTGCCACAAGCTAAGAGAACATTCCTACCCTCTGTTTGGTGAACTTCTGTTTCTCCTCACATAGGGACTCTGAGCTCATAGACTTGCCACCTAGACCTGTAAAGAAACATGGCCTACTACTTTTCCCTTTGTCTTTTGGGATGCACAGACTGCAGACAGTTTATGTGCTGGATTGATGGCTTTTCTTATGACTCAGGCTGTTTAGATCACTCTGTTATCATTTGCCCCGGCCCTTGCCAACTGTGGAAGTCTACTGCTAGAGTTTCAAATCTGACTTTAATACTTACTGGTTGTATAACTTGAACAAATTTCTTAATTTCCTTAAACTATCATTTCATCATCTGTAAATTAGTGGTAATAAGAGTAGTCATAGTAGTTAGCAGGCACAGTTTATAGTAAGGATTAAGTGAGATGCCGCATGCGAAGAGTAGAGCTTGGTGACTGACACACAATAGGTCATCACCAAGCTGTAGAGGTTATTCTTATCTCCTCCTTTCATCAGGTGTCCTTGGAGCATCACTGCCTGGGGCAGCTTGGAACGGATTTGAGGCTTGCTTAACCAAGGTGGAAATTTGGATCCAACACAATAACTGTTTGAGATCCACACAAAAGGTTTTAGAAACATCAAACATGTAGTAATTCTGTGGGAATGTAGCTTAATAGCCAAGGGAAGGAAGCCAAGCCTAAATCTTCGCTGAAGGGCGCCTAACTTGTGTTTAGCATGCACACTGGGGCGCATTTCCCTGCTGGGCTTTGGCAGCATCCACTGAGGGAAGAAAACCATGTGCTGTCCCAGATAGGGGTCACCCTCCTCCCCAGCACAGCACAGAGGCCTCGCTGTCGTCAGCCCCCTTGGGAAGAGCCACTGAAACAGGACACAATCACAATAGCAGAGAAGAGAACTGGAATAAGATGTGATGAAACTTCAAAGAGGAAGGAAATCATAGGCATTATGATAAATTAAAATAGAAAACTCAGAACTCCCTGGGACCCACATTTTTTTACATCACTATCATTGTTTGGCCTATTTTTCCTTTCTGTAGGTCATTATCTGTCCATTTTTAAAGATCTGACTAGTTATCTATCTATCATCTATCTATCTATCTATCTATCTATCTATCTATCTATCTATCTATCTATTATTCATCTATCAGATATATGGTATATGGTAGAACTTTCCATGACTGTCCTAATTATGAAGAGGAAGTCAGCTTCAGAGTCTTTATACTAATAGCCCTTCTTATCTTAGGTATCTATTTTTTTTCCTTTGTCGAGTCATTAGACATTTACTACGTGCTAGAAACAAAGCTCAGATAAAATGTTGAATAAACAACAAGCTCAGATAAAATGTTGAATAGACTTCAGTCCCTGACCTCAAAGAACCAGCTCTACTCTATTTCATCTCCCCACTGGATTGGTAGTTGAACCCCTGGAGTACTGTGGGCACTTTCTGTTTTCTTCGCAGCATGTTGATCAGTAATATTTGTAAATATTTTGTCAACCATTATGTCAAAACACTTCATAAAAAACAGAGACCTCAGTGGAGGAAACCTTGTTTGGAACATAACATTTTCAATTCAGGGCAGGGAGCTAGATTATTTAGAGTATGGTGAGCTAATTGCTGAGAGTATTTAGAATATGTTGAGATCTTAGTCCATTCAGATTGCTTTAACAAAAATACCATAGACTGGGCAGCTTAAACAACAAATATTGGTTTCTCACAGTTCTAGAAGCTGGGAAGTCCAAGATGAAGGCTCTGGAAGATTCAGTGTCTGGTGAGGGCCTATTTTCTGGTTCATAATCGTCCGTCTTCTTGCTGTATCCTCACATAGCAGAAGAAGTGAGGGAGCTCTCTGGGCTCTCTTTTATAAGGGAAGTAACTAATCACATTCATGAATCTTCCCCCTCATGAGCTTATCACTTCCCAAAGGCCCCACCACACTGGGAGTTAAGATTTCAATATCTGAATATGGGTGGAGAGGGGGCACAAACATTAGGTCTGTAACAGTGAGTTAATGTTAGTTGTCCAGGGGAATGCAATACATTCTCCCACGCTATCATTGCTTAGATATATAAAAGTATGAAGGTCATGGGAAAAGCTGTGCATACTAACAGAATAGTTTATAATGTTTCATAGACGTAGTGGCATTAAACAAAATAGTTCATAAGCAATATTATAAAGAACCAGCATTTTATAGAGCTACATCAAACAGTGTATATATATAGTACAAGCACATTCCATAACCACAGCAGCATAAAAGTCAATTTTTTAAAAAAGTAAATACAATCTTGATAAAATCTCTGATTCAGAACTTATTTGAGGACTCTGATTTAAAACTGCATGTAAGTAAATGATTTTTAGAAACTCTAAAAATGCTTTTGTAGCATTTTACATTTACAAGGGGTTTTAAAACTGACATATTGTCTTCATTTATTTTACTGTGCTTCATGCTTGAACAATGAACCTTAAACAGTAATTGTCACATGACAAGTGTTCCATAAATACATTTATTCATTTGTGTATGTATTCATTCAGATACTTATAAAAAATCTGCTGTATTCCATGTATTAAGGATATAATAATGAATGAAACCTAATGGTTTCT